AATTGCCTATCAGGGGATGAACACACTGATTGGGTTAAGGCTCACATAACCCAATCATTTCCCTTCTAAATCTTACTGCATATCTAAACCATAACACTAGTCATTAGGAAATACAAATGAGAACTACAATGACATAATATCTTACATATTTTATGATGGCATAATCAAAAGGATAAAAGTTAGTGCTGGCAAGGATACCAAGAAAAGGTTACCCTTATACATTGTTGGTAGAAATGTAAATTAGTACAGTCATTATGCAATGTTGTATTGAGGTTCCTCAAAAACCTAAAACTAGAATTACCATATGATCCAGAAATCCTACTCCTGAGTATGTACCCAAAAGATCTGAAATCAGTTTGTCAAAGAAATATCTGTATTTCCATATTCGTTTCAGCACTATTTATAATGCCCAATTCACGGAATCAACTTGGTATCCATTAATAACTTAACAGATAAAGAAAATGGTACATATACACAATGAAATAATATTAAATTTTAAAAAGGAAATTTTGTCACTTGTGACAACCGGACAGAATTAGAGAACATTAAACTACATGAAATAAATAAGGCACTGAAAGACAACACATGAATCTAAATCAATTGAACTCACAGAAGCAAAAAGAATAGTGGTTATAGAGGTGGGGGTGATGGGAGGTATGGTCAAAGTTCAGTAAGATAGAAGGAATAAGGATTTTTTTTAATTCCATTGCACAATTATGATGAACAGTGAGTGAGTGTACTATATATTACAAAATTGGTAAAACCAAATTTTAAATGTTCTCACCAAAAAAATAAATATTTGAAGGAATATATTAATTAATCATCCCACATCATATTCTTAAATCATTGCATCACTGTGTACCCCATAAATCTGTACAATTATAAATTGTTAACTTATAATAACAAAAAGACTTACTTATTCCTCAGCCTTTTCATTTCTTCCTTGGAAGAAATCCTTTCACAATTCTCTCTTGATTACAAATTTTGGACCACTATCATTGGTACCTTTGACCTTTCTCCAAATGTACTTCTAATAAGTGTACAAAATTTTATTCTAAATCCTGAATTGAGGAAATGAATTTTTATATCTCTAAGAAGTAAATAATTTGGGTCATAGAGACAAGCAAAATACACTCATATTTTAGGATTGCAATTCTATTAGCAACTCTTCCTTAGTATTCCCACATACTCTTCACCCAGTTTTCCCTATTGTTAATATCTTATATTACCACAGTACATTTGTCAAATCTAAAAAACGACTGTCCTACTACATGTAAGTGGTTGGACTGGGCATACTTTTAAGTAGCTTATAAAAAAGAAAAATTTATCTCAGTTCTGGACTCTGGGAAGTCCGAGATCAAGTAGGATGTCAGCAGATTCAATGCTTAGTAAGGGCTTGCTTCTAGGTTAATGGGTGATGTCTTCTTCAGTGTTCCCCTCTGTCTGAAGAAGCAAGCTAGTTCTCATGGCTTTCTTTCATAATGGAAACCCTCATGACCTAAAAAGTTCCCACCTTCTAATACCATCACATTGGGGGTTCAATTTCTAACATCAATTTGGGGGCGGGGGGCAAAAACACTCAAACCATAACAGCAACATCAGTACATTAATGAAATTCCAAAATGCACTAGAATTTCATTTGTTCTTCCACTAAAGTTATTTTTTTTCTTGCAGGATCCAATCCTGGATATCACAATGCATTGTTGTTATAGTCTCCTTAGCCTCGTCTGGTCTGTGAATTTCCCAGCACTGTCTTGTTCTAAATGATGTGAAAGCTTTGAGATTAATGGACAACTATTTTCTAGTGTCCCTCAGTTTAAGTTTGTCTGTTACATCTCTTATGATAAGTATGATTAGATTGGGTAATCAAGATTGTAGGTTTATTTTTTTAGTTGTTTAATATTTTTTAGTTGTTTTGTAATATTTGTTTTTATGTGGTGCTGAAGACTGAACCCCATGCCTCACATGTGCCAGGCAAGCACTCTACTACTAAGCTACAACCCCACCTCTGATTGTAGGTTTTTATACCTACAGGTAAGTGGCCTTCTCATCATATCACACTAAGAATTGTATAAGATATTAACACAACTTGTCACTATGATTACTTGATTAAGATAATTTCTGTCACTTTCTTAACAGTGAAGTTCCTATTTTTCCCTTTATGTACTCAATTCTTAGAAGCAAGTCTAGCACACACTTTCACAAAGGGGAAGGTGCTAGGAGTTTAACTTTGAAATAAAGTTCTGCTTAGACCGGTAAACATTTGATCTGAGGGAATTTCATTTATTTATTAAAAAAATAGAAAGGATGAGAAAACTAGTAGCTTTCCAGTCATTTCACAGATAAGGATTTCAAAGTAAGGATGATATTTTGATCAAAATTGTCTTCTTATGGAGTTGCATGACTTTGGTGGTAGATAAGTAGCTTCTCCAATCTCTATGAAAGCAACCAAAAGAAACACAAAGAAGCCAGGCATGATGGCGCATTCCTGTAATCCCAGCAGCCTGGCTTGGGGCCAAGACAGGAGGATTGAAAATTCAAAGCCAGCTTCAGCAAAAGCAAGGTGCTAAGCAACTCAGTGAGACCCTGTCTCTAAATAAAAATACAAAATCGGGCTGGGGATGTGGCTCAGTGATCGAGGGACCCTAAATTCAATCCCCAGTACCAAAAAAAGACCCCACAAAGAACAAGAAGCAAAACCATACCAAGGAACTAAAAGAAATGTGAATCTCAACCCATGACACATGAGGAAGGGCTGCCAAAGTACACAGGGTGGAGGAAGACCATGAGAGAGGATGTTCATCCTCGCAACTCTCAGGCAAACTTAGCAAGAGAAAAGATGTCATACAAAAGGAAAAATTAGAAAACTAGTACATGAAGACTTGAAAAGAGGTAATAATACTTCCATCATTTACAGATGTAATTATTTTCAAGGACAATTGAAGAAATGCTTTAAAATTTTGCAAATAATGAGAATTCAGGCAGATAGTTAAGCACAAGTTTAGCATAAAAGAATAAATAATCTTATAGTGAAAAAAGACAATTTATAGAATATCAAATGATAACATAATGATTTTAAAAGAACTATTATATTAATAGTAATATTGACATCTCTAATATGAATCAATAGCAGGATATCAACTCTAAGTTACTTCCTGATTTAACCACAAACTACAAAAATAATTTTGAGGAGAAACTAGAAAAACTGATTTCATATAAATACTGAAATAAACCCACAAAAAGGAAAAAAATAACAGGGTGGAAAACTGATAAGTATACGACAAGGAGTAGATTTTACAACATATAAATTAGAAGATAAATCAAAGGAAAAAAGAAAATAGTCCACAAGAAGAGACAAAAAATTCTGAAAATGAAAAGTAATAAAACATTAGTTATATCACAGTTCTATAATAATCTAAACAGTATGGTAGTGATAAGAAGACAGATCCATGAAATCAGCTATAAAATAATTTAGTAAAGAATATATTGAAATCTAGAAATTAAAGACAAGAGTTTTAAACACACGGTGTTGGGTAGCATTCGAGAAGGAAAAAAAAAAGTGGATCCCTATCAATATTTTATCAAAACAATTCAAGATGGAATCTAGTTAGACAAAGGGTATAAACTTGAAAAAACATTTTAAAAACTCTAAAAGAAAAAAAGAGGGAAATTCTTTTATAATCATGGAATAAGAAAAATAACTAAAGGCAAAAAAAAAAAAAAAAAACAAAAAAAAATAAAAATGGAAAAAAAAAAACCCTCACTTTTTTGGTACTCTGTTCCAAAGATTTGAAGGCAGCAGCAGACTATCTTACATGAGACTATGTGTCTTTGTTTTTCTATGTATCTCATTTAGACATTTGGCTTCAAAAGTCTAGTAGATTTAGGGGCTGGAGTTGTGGCTCAGCAGTAGAGAGCTCGCCTACCATGTGCTAGAGGCTGGGTTCAATCCTCAGTGCCACATAAAAATAAATAAATAAAATAAAGGTATTGTGTCCAACTACAACTAAAAAAAAAAATATATATATATATATATATATATATAAAGTCTAGCAGATTTAAAGCAAATCCACAGGATACCAGAGAACGGAAACAAAATAATTATATCTGAACAGCATTTCTGTTCCTCTCTTTTGTTGCCATTGTTGTTACAATGGCTTTGCATTAAAAATATTAAAAGCAAAAAGAAAAAACCACCACCAACAAAAACTGTATAAATATATATACCTGTAAATGTATATGGACTAGCTATAGAAAGGCACTAAACACTGCCAGCAATGACTGCTTCTGTGGAAGGAGGGAAGCAGACTGAGATGTTTACACTAGAAGTCTATATTGTTTGTGTATAATTACCTATTTTCAAAAACCTGAATAAAGTAATTTTCACATTGTTTGCTCTGAACTATCAGCCTAAATAATCGAGAGTGAACTATAAAAAAAGTTCTTCACAAGAATAATACAAATATCCAATTTTGCAATAGCACATATAATAGATCCTAGTTTAAAAGCACAAAAGGTGCTTTTAAATTATAATAGAAAGCTATTATTTGCCATTCTTCCTACAACACAAATAACTGAAAACTTGTCTGTAGAATTTTCAAAGCTGCGAGTTCTATGTACAGTACCACTGTGGACTCTATCATAAAAGATCCCATTTTCCAAAAATAATTTCAGTTGGTCAACATTCAATTAATTAGAATCTTTAAATACCTGTCATTTAAGCACTTCAACATCTGAATATATTCCTTTGCATTCACATTCCAAGCCATCTGTGCTTTCTAATTCCCAAATATGTCCTTACTTTGCTCATGCCTTTGAAGATACTGTTTCTTCTGCTGAGACACTTTTGCCTCACCTTTACCCACTAAATGATCCTTGCTATTGGGGCCAACTCAAATTCACCTATTTGCAAAGTGCTCTGCAAACCATGTGGATAAGTTTATTATATATACACAATAAAAAAGGAAACAAACGACATAGAAAGATACAAAGGCAGAATGGTCAATTTAAAAAGTTATTTATTAAACAAGTTAAATACAACTAAAAGTATACTTAAAAGTTTAACAATATTGGATCCCTTTTGAAATATCTGTTCAGGGAACAAGTATCTTGTCAAACTTTTTAATGACATGGGAAATGATAAAAATTGAAGATATAAAAAGCATTCTTAAACAAACAATAAAACACGTGGTAAATCTAGAAGAAAAAATAAAAACACAAAACCACACAGATTACTAAACCATGAAACCAAAACGTTTCACATGTTTGCAAATGTTTCTGTTACACTCACATGAGTACTGAACTGTCTTCATCCAAATTAATAAACAAATAAACTCACCTTAAGGTCATACGTTGTGGTATATGATTTTAAAAAGAATACATGTTGGGTGTGTAATTTGTCCACACCTAACAAAACATTTTACATATGAACCTATTCACTTATACTTAATGGAAGACAAAACAAAACTTATAATTTAAGCATCTTGATTTGAGAACAACTGTGGATTTGGTATCTCTGTTAAATTCCAACATCATAATCACCAAATGTGCTATCAAAGATAGTTATTCCAATTTTTGCTAAAAAGAACTTCTTCCAAAAATTGTAGTATTTCAGGATAAAAGGAAACACAACATATTCTTTGTTCATAAATTACATTGCTTAGTTTCTACTGTTAACACAAAAAATAGTGCAAGAGGGAAGACTCCTATAGAAAAGCCTCTGTCTTTTCAGTAGTTTCAAATGGCGTTATACAATATTTCACTGGAAATAGTGATTACACCACAAATTTGGCAGTTGCTTCTGTTTAAACCGTAACTCTGCCCCATAACATCCATCAAAGGCTTTCAAACATAATTGGTTTTGGCAGTACACATGGAGATCATGATGTGAATGGGGACTGCCCAATGGACACCAGGGCTTTTGTAAAAGAAGTTTTCTCTGTGTGTCTGTGTGTTTTAAGTAGGAAACAGGCGAGTGTTTTAAGTAGGAAACAGGCGATGAAATAGTTTATCCAGAACCATAAAACACATCTTCCTAATTAAATCTCAGTTGTATAAATAATATAAATCAAATGTCTAGGACTTAAATGGATTCTGAATTTATGTAAGAAAAGCAAATCCTTTCCTGCCTTTTATCATTCTCTACAGAGGATAAAGCTTTAGTTATATACATTCTTCTGGACACAGAGGGAAAGGGCTCTTTGTCCCTTTTTCAGTCTGAAAGAGAGGAGAACGAGCAGACCTGCCACTGGCAGGGCTGGAGTAAGTGAAAGGATCCTTGTCCTTTTCTTTGCTGTCGTGCTTATGCTTGTGTTTATGTTTATGTTTGTGCTTCTTCTTCTTTTTCTTATGCTCATGGTGATGGTGGTCACTGTGTTTGGAGGATGTAGATTCCTTAGTAAATACTGAGAGTGGAGCTGTTGCCACTGGATGCATACTCATCTCCAAAGGCGATTGTTCTTTACCTTTAAGATTAAAAATAACCAAATGAATTCCTGTTGATACCAAGGAAGACAAAACTAAAGTTAAGAGGAAGCTGATGACAGTATTATGGAAAGGGAGATTCCTAAGTACTTATCACTTCCATCAGGAATGAGGAATAATCAATAAGATATCCAACCAGTTATACAAAGTTTTTAGTATTTTTGGCCATGAAGTTGAATGTTTTAGTTTCTTATGATACATACCAATGCATATATTAAAAGATGACCAAATTACCTTTCAATATTTTTAAGTATTACATGGTTTGTTACAGATTAAGATCTACATTAGTCAATGAAAATATAACTACTTCCAATACAGTTCTGCCTTATGTATTACATGTAGAAATGGCAGTATTTGATTAGTGCCATTTAAAGAACTATTCACTCACAAACGTGTTAGTTACTGACAATGATATTTTAGTGAAAACTGAACATTCTTATGGTCCCTTAATACAATTTCTGGGAATAGATGGGCAAAAGTAAACTCTCTGAGAGGATTCATATACACAGTTTTAGAAACTCAGAAAAGGCAGTGTCATTGAAAAAGAAAGGGTCAAGAATTGGGAGATTCTTGCTCTAAACTAGGTTGTCCTGCTAGTCTTTAGTGTACTTTATCTCTTAGAGCACTAAGTCCCTCATCTAAAAATCTAAATAGAATATTCTCTCCAGTTCTAACAATCTACCAACCTAGGACTCTATAATAGTAGTTCCGAGACTTGAGTAAAAGAATTTTCCTCTTGTCCTTTGACCATGCTTTAAAAAACAATTACCTCTTATGTTACTTCAGGTTAATGGCATTGCTTTAGATGCAGCCAACTAAGGAAAAAGTCTGAGATTCATCTCAGATCCCATCTCCTCCAGATCTAACTGGTCACCAAATCTTGTTAATTTTCTCACAGCCTCTCTTAAATCAGTCCCCACCCTAATCCTGTCTGCAACTGTATTAATTCATACCTCTTCATCTCATCTGGATTACACCAATAGTTTCATATTAACTGATTCCTCTGCCTGAAGTATACCCTAACTATACTTTATACAGTTGCACAGTAGGTTATTTGGCAATATCTGGAGACATTTTTTTTTGTTTTTTTCAACTGGTAGGGGATAGGAAATGTAACTTGGCATTGTATGGGCAGAGAACAGGGATACTGCCAAACGTACAATCTATAACCCCTTACCTCACAACAAAGAATTATTATGCCTAAAGTATCAATGATGTCCAGGCTGGCAAACCCTATTCTATAATAATCTTCCTAAAAACAAAGCTGACCATGATATATACTTAAAAGGTCAGTTGGTTCTACTGATAATATATAAGCTTGGGACTTCAGTGTAGAAGTCTCCCCCACCACCACCCAAATTAACAAAGAAAAAAAAATTCAAGCTAAAATAAGCTTCAAGGTAACTGTTTATTTTTTTTTTTCTGTTTATATTTTAAAAAGTAATTTCTCAGCACAAATTCTGATCCAAACCAGCTCCAAAACTGTAATTTTCAACAAAGTAGAACGTTTTCTAAAAACTATACCATAGCACTAATTTTACTGACAATTCACAATGTGTCCTGAAGTTACCTTTCCAGTCTTATCTTCCACTCTTCCTCTAGGCAAAAGAGAATATTTGTAAATATTATTTCCTTGTGCTTGGAATAACCTCCCCTTTTTATTATCTGGCTCACATACTCATTTAACAAATATCAGAAACTATAGGGGAACTAGAAAAAACAATGATAAATTGGATGGATCTTAGCTCTTCTGCAGCTTACAAATCAGAAAAGAAAAAAGAAAGTAAGTACACAGGACTTAAAGATACAGGAGCCCAGTAGGGGACTTAAAGTATTTTGGAGGCAGAACTAGAAAGACAAAGTTCCCCAAAAAGTAATAGTAAAGATGTAACCTAAAGGAGGGTTTAGAGGACCACTTTAGTCTCTTTAATCGTTTAAAAATAAATTCAAATGTTTCTTTGGGATGTTTCCCCAATGTCAATAAGGAATTAGTTGTTTCAGTTCCCACAGTATAATACAGACAAGGAAAATAAAGCAGTGAGATTAAGTAATTTGCCCAAGGTGGTACTGACAGATCTGAGCTACAAACCCAAAAAGCCTGATTCTAAAGTCTCCTCTTAACCCTTTATGCTATGGGCGCACCCTGCACGCAGACAGACTAGAATGTTTCTTTTTACCTATTAGTCTCTTCTATTAGCCTGAAAATTTCTTGAGGACAAGGAGTAGGTCTTTTTCCTCTGTGTCCCAGTGTACACACAGTATCTGACATCCCCTACCTGACCCCACTCTTGATAAAGCTTGCTAAACAAATTAATGAATTAATAACAAAATTATATAGGGTTTCTTTTCAAATAGGATGTCAGCTGAACTTAGTCCTTACATAATTTGAGGTTCACTAGTTTTGATGGGAGAGGGATAAAGTACAAAAACTATTATAGATTATAATTTCTTTTTGGAAAGCTAACACTATTACTTCTGGAAAAGCTAAATAATTCTTTCTATGGAGAAGCAAGTTTGTAATATCTGAATCTTCTGTAATAACTAGTACCTAGATATTCTCTTAGAAAAAAAAATAATTGAGATCATCTGAATCAAATGTACTAAAATGTGATCTTAATTTCAGTTTTAAATGAATTAGATGGGTATCCTCCCAAAGCTATTAATACAGGAAAACAGCTCCATGCCTAACAGAATGCAAAAGTAGGCAACAAGAAGTAATAACAGACTTGAAAACCTCAAACGATTTAGCTCCCAGCTCATCATTTAGTTATTCTACATAACAGACTTCTGCAACTTTCTAATTTGCTGTCTGCACTCCTGGGAGACTGAGGTCCTTTTCTGGCTTGAAAAAAAGTTTCTTCATCTAATCCTAAGTACCTGCCAAGCTACTTGGATTGCAGAAAAGCCAATAATTATACTGGAACCTGTAGTTCCCAGCAGAGGCAAGTACCAAATGAACAACTGAGTGTTTGTGGTGTACTCTTTTCTAAGGAATATTTAGAACCACTTTGAAAGTGATTCCAATCTTTTGTCTGCAGGTCCTAAAGTTTACACTAAGGTTACACTGATCACAAATCTTGCACTTCATTTGATTTACATGGGGTCTATTTAAAAAATGGATTAGAGCTGGGGCTGTGGCTCAGTGGCAGAGCACTTGCCTACTATGTGGGAGGCACTGGGTTCGATTCTCAGCACCACATAAAAATAAATAAAAGTCCATTGATAACTAAAAATATTAATTTAAAGAATGGATTAGAATACAAGTTAAGAATACAGGTATTAGGAACCAAGGTCCTAGGAGAAATCTGATTACAGGTCCGAGGAAGAATATTTATTTACAAGATAACCTGAAATATCATGTAAGAAGGAAGTTAAAAGTCTTGCCAAACAGATTCAGGAGTCAGCTTAAGAGGGCATTAATGTCCAAAGACAATTTGAATACTGATAAAGATAATGATTATAACAGACTCAAGTGTCTCACTGAAGGATGCTAGTCAACCAACTAATTATTTTTAAATGTAATAAGTTTGTTATTTTAAAAATTATTGAATAAATAGAATCAAATATTTATTTTGACTTTTCTAAATGATTTATATCATTCTGTACAAATGAGGAAGAATTTAGCTTTATAGAAGTAGCAGATGAGTAGATAAAGAAAATGTGGTATGTATATACCATGTGACATATATATGTATTACTCGTAATTTCGTTCTTCTTTATGGCATTTGTTGATAAATGGATGGAACTGGAGAATATCATGCTAAGTAAAATCAACCAATCCCCCAAAAACCAAAGGCTGAATGTTTTCTCTGACATGTGGATGCTAATTCACAATACGGACATGGTGGTAGGGAAGAATAGAAGGACTTTGGATTAGACAAAGGGGAATGAAGGCAAGGGAGGGAGAATGGGAACAGGAAAAATAGTAGAATGAATCAGACATTACTATCCTATGTGCATATATGTTTACACAACCAATGAAATTCTACATCGTGTACAACCAGAAGAATGAGAAGTTATACTCCATATATGTATAACATATCAATTTTTTTTTTTTTAAAAAAAGATGCTCTTGGGGAGGGAAAGGGGAAATACTGGGGACTGAATTAGAGCAAATTACATTCTATCCTTTTATAAATTATCTCAAAATGAAATGTAATGTTATGTATAACTAAAATGAATCAATAAAAAGATGGGCTTGTTTTTTTAAAAGTAGCAGATGAACAAGAATTTTACTTTATAGAAACAATCCAGCTTATAAATAAAAATAGAAGATGAATTAGAATATCACCATCTTGCAACCCTCAGGAACCTAATGAATCTACAACCTTGAACATTTACTGTGATTAACCTCACAAAAAGGAATTGACCTGACACTGTATGCTTCCAGGTGAAGAACACACCATCACCTGTAAACATGAATCCAATTACGCTCCAGTACAACTACTAGTACTATAGAGACTTCTAATATTTATACAAATAGCAAAATACAGACTTAAAAAAATACAGATCAAAAGCCTGGTTTCTTTAACAAAAACACTATAAGCTGCGGTGGGGGGCAGGGGACTGGAGAGAGGGATGGGAAATTTTAGAATAAAAAGGATATATTAGCAAATTGAAATGTGGACCTTACATGGACACTGATATAAACAAATGAATTGTTAAAACAAAGCCAAAATAATGGGCTGGGGATATAGCTCAGTTGGTAGAGTGCTTGCGTTGCAGGCAGGCACAAGGCCCATGGTTCAGTCCCCAGCAACAAAAAAGCACCAAAAACAAAATAAGTGTATCTATGAATCAATTAAAATTGAAGCAAATTAGATATTTAATAGTATAAAAATACTAATTTTTAGGTATAATAATTTTACTGTGCTTATAAACTTTAAAATTTTTATCTTTTAGATACATATTAAATTGTGGATGGAATGACAAGATTTACTTCAAACTAATTCAGAAGGGTAGAAATGAGTAAGAGTACAGATTAAATGAGACTGACCATGAACTGATCATTGTCAAAACTAAGTTAAAAGATAAATGAAAATGAAGTTCATTGTACTAGTCTACTTTGTTGTTTTCCATAATAAATTGTTTCTTAAGAAGTAATTAGGGTAATTTAGCAATATATATGAAAATGTTAAGTGGCCATATCTTTGATATAGTAAAGTTCATTTCTAGGAACTTATACCACTAATATGTTCATGAATATGTGCAAACACATGAACACAGAGAAATTGTTTTTAATAGCAAAACATCTGCCCACATTATACTATCACCACAAAAAAATTGTTAGCTCTTAGCTCTTACGTTTTTTCATTTGTTATAAACAATGCATATTTCTTATTTGCTTTTTCTCTATCCTTCCTGAAAAACTTTACCAGGTCTAATCCAAAGTGATAAGAAACACAATTTCCTTCTCATGTAGATCACATTAATATTCAGATTAAGTACACATGAATTTACTTTCACAATAATGAGGTTACTCAAGGACTTTCATGAATATGCATGTATTAATCATTTCCTGGACACAAACTGACACACAATTTTAGAGGTTTATAAAATGCTTAAAAACTTGAGGCCCACCCACAGTTAAGCGTCACTCCTTTTTAAGCTAATGAAAACCATTTTAGTGACCTAAAATATGTATTTCTATTTAAGATACCAGATAAATCAGAAGAAAATAATACACATAATTCAAAATACTACAATTTTCCTATTTCATAGTATAAATAGAAAACAAAAGACATATTCAGAGTTTTGTTTTTCCCAAAGACCAAATAAAATACACCATGAATAAAGGTTATTGCAGCAAATTTAACAAATGCAAAACAAACAGAAAGAGGCACTTCCTATAAGTTTAATATAGGTTTTTAGTTCACTTGATAAAACTGCTGCTGAGAAACAGTGAATAATCTGCTAATTAATCTATTAAATTTGTTCATATTAAGTGTTTGGATTTAATCAAAAACCTGTAGGTTCTATTAGGAAAGGTATGAAGTAGTTTTTTTTTTTTTTTTTCCCTCAATGCTTTAAAGCAATATAAAAATAAAGTGTTGAATTATACCATGATGATTTAAGGATAAAAAGATCAAAGTCTATGGCTGGGGCTGTAGCTCAGTAGTAGAGCACAGCTTCTCATGCATGAGGAACTGGGTTTGATCCTCAGCACCATATAAAAATAAATAAATCAAGATACTGTGTCCATCTACAACTAAAAAAATTAAAAAAAAAAAAAAGATCAAAGTCTGTTTCTCATATTTAGTACCAAAGAAAGACCTATAAGGAACGTTTCCAAACTTAAAAAAAAAAAAAGCTTTAACTTAAAAAATCAAGCACTAGAAATATGTTCTTCTGATTTGCACAAGAAGAATTGCATAACATAGTGGCCAAAGTTAAGCAGCTGCAGGAACTTGCCTTCTCTTCCCCACAGAAACTACTAGGAATTCCCAATGCACCTTGTTCCCCTCACCTTCCTCTCCTGTTAATCATTGTAACACTGTAGCAACCTGGAGATAGCTCTGTCACCTTAAGCCTTTACAGTGGTGGAGAGAAAGCTGCAGTAGTTGGAAGGGAGGGGCTTCAGTATGTTCAGCCTATCACCAAAAGGACCAAAAGGACCATTTAGCCCTTTCTGCACATTCCCTCCCTTACCTCAGCAAAGGGAAAGGAACACTCAGGTAACGAAGGAAAACAAACTTGCCACTTTTCCTTTCTTACCCTAATGGCTCAACCTACTACCCACATATGACTGATTACACCCTAAAAGTGCCCTTTTATCATATACAAGGAAAGGGAAAATTGTGTATATGTGAGACATATAGGGTGAGGTTTAGAAAGTAAAACCATTACTGTCCTCTACTAAACAGCTTCCATTTCCTCTTTTACCTAAATCCTCATTCCTTTTCTCTGTCTTCTAGATGAACTCTGCAACACATTTTAGTTCTTAATTCCAATTTGGTTCCCTGGTCCTAAGCTTAAGAAATCTGAGACTTCATCTCAGCACAGGAACAAAGGAGGCAGGGACCCAAACAAAAAAGCTTTAAACCCAAGGAAAAGTATAAATAAGCACACTACAGGGTACAGCACAAGAAAAGTTTGAACTGGAACGTACATACCCTCCTTATGAAGTCCTCTCAGTTAAATCTTCAAGAAAAATCTAGATTATGTGTGATCTCTTCATTTTTAGTCAACCCATTAAAAAATTTTTGTAAGAATTACCCAGATTGAATAAAAGACATTTCACCTGGATGAGCCGAACGTGCCTCCCCAAACCCATGTGTCCTTAATCTAGATTCCAAAGACTGAAGAGAGATCACCTTACTGCTGCTCTACTTTTCTCTCAGGAGCCTCTCACATGACTTTCAATCTCAGAAGATCCCCAGCTGTTACTGAGAGACAGGAAGAGAATACATTCCTTTTTTACAAAGAATTTCACATGACTTTATTTAGGTTAGGCTGAAGTTGTGCTTCTGACCTCCCAAAGATGAAGCTGAGTGGCCTGCTCTCACAGAAACTTTGTTATACACAATGGCTAGATTTGATACTTCTATTCTCCATCTGTGGTATGTGTTCAAAGGGCTCTTGGTAGGCTAGTTTGGGAAAATTACAATATCCAATATTATCAACAAAGTATTTATGGAAAAACTGCATTCAAAATTCTAAAATACACATAAAAACAAACTTTTGGGGCTGGGGTTGTGGTTCAGTGGAAGAGTGCTTGCCTCACGTGTGTGAGGCACTGGGTTTGATTCTCAGCACCATATATAAATAAAAAATAAATAAAGGTCCATCGAAAACTAAAAAAAAAATTTTAAAAACAAACTTTTGGAACACTACCCTTTGTAAAATGCATGTTTTCTAAAATCTAAATATTGCTGTTGAGTTTTAAGAGATGCTTAATGGTTTTAGGGTACTGAATAGTCCAAATATACTTAAAGGAAATTATAAAGGCATATCAAAGAGTATATTTAAAATTAAAGTTTAATAGATCAGTCTACATAACTGCCATATAGTTTGCCTTATGATATAAAATAGTTCTACATGGATACCAATCAAAGCTAAAATTTTAGCACTTTATTATTTTCCACCACTAGCCTGTATCTGTCTCTCCCCAGGCTTCTCATGTGACGCAATGAGAACTACAACAAAGATTGGGGGTAGGGGGATTTTTAAAAGCAATATGGAACAATGATACAAAGCACACTAGTGGACATAAAAATGTATTAAAGTTTGCTTCTACACAAGTTTGTGGGCCACATCATTAAGAAAATCCAAACAATGTACTGAACTTCTTTTTGGACTAGAAACTGATTTGACTCTTAGAAATTCAGACAGAACTTATTTTTTCATAGGCAAAGAAGGCAGGCAGAAGCACCATAAACTATATCAATAAGTTTTAATCCCATATGCTTTGTAATTTTTTTTTAAAAAGTAGAAAATTATTCATGTCCAGTAAAAGTTTAAAAAATACACTGATGATAAGGCAAAACTATACCAAAACTAAAACCAAGATAATACAAAGCCCTGAGTGGTTGAGTGCTTTGCTTGTCTAGAATGTGTCAGGATCCAGGTTCCCCCTCTAGTACCAAAAGAAAAAACAAACAAAACCCCACAAAACAATAACAACAAAAAGAAAAAACAAAACAAAACAAAAAACAAACCCAGAACACAAAATCAGCAGAGGCCAAGAAATGAGAAATGTGAAAATTCATTCATCAGAATAAGCACCAAAGTGCAATAGTCTGGGGTCTCAACACCAAAATATTTTGATGTGTCACTTTTATTTGAACTCGCCTTTTAGTCACAGTGACCCCTAAGCTCTTCAAATGAATAAACAGTACTCTATTGCTTATACTGGGAAATAATTTTGGTTACATATCTTGTTTTTCATTCCCTGTTTCTTGAAAACTTGAAGACTGATGAATCTTTATTTCATGGTAGCTCATCAGCATCTAAGTTTATTACTCTTTATTTGGATTTTAATCTCTTAGTAAGTAACATAAGAACAGAATAAACAGAAAAATATGTAAAACCATGGAAAAGGTAACAAGCACATCTGTACTGAATTACCTTTCATAAACTTAAACCTAATTAGTATACAATAACTTAAAAGATATAACATTTGAATTTTCTAGGTAAATCATCAAGTCTTCATAAATGAATCACCAATCATGAACACTGGGTTTATGGAGGGAATAAGCAGATGATTTTCATATTTTATAAAGTTATAATGATACAGATTTGATGGTTTCTACTTAAGTTAGTATTTGTCATAATAATTAGAAAATGTACTATAAGAGCAAAATATTAATTTAAAGGGTATATGTAATGGTATCAGGTGGAATGATTTTTATTTTCATTTATTTTTCTGTTATTTTCAAGTTTCCTGTAACAAAAGTCCATTTCTTTTGAAACAGAAAAAAGTCTAATTTAAAAGTCTTTAAAGTTAAATAAAGTCAAATGTACTGTAAGGAAAGCAACTCCTAAGATCTATATTTTTAAAGTATTTTTCCAAGTTATTAAAGTAACTCTATGTAGTTTTACAGATTTGTTCTTGAGGGGAAAAAAAAAAAAGGAAATTAGTCGATTGATTTTTACCTGTTCCCTTACGTGTAAGTTCCATACTCCATGGGGGTTTTGTGGTAGCTGTGCTATCACAACCTGATGAATGCTGAGGTATTAAAGCAGATCGAGAGCTAGCTGGTCGATATTTGGAAAGTCCTAAAATGCCAAACAAGAGGAAAAGGATGGATTTACTTCCTTGTTTCCTAAAAGCTGAAAAAAGCCTGATGGGTTTTTATAAGTTACCCTTAAAACTAGAAGCAGTGGAACCACAGTAAAATTCTGATAATAAAAAGAATATCCTTTAAAAACTACTAACAATCCCATTTAATTTAATCCTTTGTCACAGGTCCTGTAAGTTTAAATCTGAAAATAATACACATTGAAGAGAGACAATATGGTGGAATGACTTGGTAAACATATAAATTAGATTCTATATTCTATCACAGAAACCATTTCATAAATTTTTTTACATGGAACTTTGCACATAATAAAATGTGCCCACTCTCCAAAAAATCCACTAATAAATTACGGTATAAAATTTATTTTAAAATAGATCAAAATGATTTAGGAATTACAGAAGACATTTAAGAAGGGAAGTGAATGAGGCATGGCTGCTCACATCTGTAATCCCAATCCCAGTAGCTGGGGAAGCTGAAGCAGGAGGATTCCAGGTTTGAAGCCAGCCTCAGCCACTTAGTAAGGCCATAAGCAACTTGGTGAGACCCTATCTCAAAAAAAAAATAAATAAATAAAAAGGGATGGGGATGTAGCTCAGTGGTAAAGCACTTCTGGGTTCAATCTCCAGTGCCAAAATAAAAACAAACAAAAAGCAGATAGTGGTTTAATGGTGTAACACGATCAGTATCTGATACCAAATTTATCAACAAGTATCTATTTGTGTGTTAATTCCTTCACCTATAATATGGAAAAGTTCTAAGATTTGGATGTAGTTGGCCATTACATGTGTGTGTCAGTTCAGGCAAATCATTTAAATATCTCTGCTCAAGTTTACCACTTAAGTGAGCAAAACGGGTCACTATTATTATTAAGATCTCTTACAATTATAAAAGCAAAAGAATTCAGGACCTATTAGTTTCCAATTATATCCTAGGCTCATATTCTATCTGAAACCAGTTCTCAAATTCTTTAGTTCATCTTAGATTACCAGATCATATAAAATAATATAGGTCCCATAAATAAAAAGACAGACAAGCAAATCAAGGTGACTAGTGGGGACTTTAGAACTTAAAAAAAGTAAAATTAAAAAAACCTCACTCAAGCTGGGTGTGGTGGTGCATGCCTGTAATCCCAGCAGCTCAAGAAGCTAAGGCAGGAGGATCTCAAGGTCAAAGCCAGCCTCAGCTAAGGCTAGGCACTAAGCAACTCAGTGAGACTCTGTCTCTAAATAATATACAAAATAGGGCTGGGAATGTGGCTCAGTGGTCCAGTGCCCCTGTGTTCAATACCCGGTACCAAAAAAAAAACAAAAAAACAAAAAAAAACCCTCATTCAAATGTAAAAATTATAAACTACAACTACATGGGGTATTAGGATTTTCAAATAAGAAGAACATAAAAAAGAAGCAACTCAGGAAGGACATAAAAAGAAGAAAAAGAATAGTCATATTCATAATAGAAAAATGCATTAAAAGCAAACCTGAATAATAACAGTTATTATTATTGGTACTGGCAACTGAACCCAGGGGTGCTTAACCACTAAGCCATATCCCCAACCCTTCTCATTTTTTGAGACAAGGTCTTAATAAATTGCTGGGATTAGAGATGTGCACCACCACACCCAGCATTAAACCTTATTTAATCATTTTAGAGTTCCTAAATAAGAATTTTAACTTATTACACTGAGTATGATAAAACAGTGCTATGACAGACATGATAATGATACATATAGATTAATAGATTATACCTTATGTATCCATATTAATTTTAGAAACAACGTTGAGTGAAAAAAGCAAGCCATATTATCATACCATTTTCATAAAAATTCAAACAATAAGAGTAAGTAAACATAGAATAACACATCTGTGCTGTATACTATCAAGAAAAGCAAAAAAACTAAATTTAGAAAAAGAAAATTCAAGATAGTAGTTAACTATGGTGCAAAGACAACAGAATAGAACTAGGACAGAAGTCTACAGGAACATCCACACGTGCACTATGTTGTACAAGTTAAGTGATGATCAATTTCACAGATACTTGTTCTATTACTGTATTTCATGACTTATGCGCGAGTCATATCAAAAGCCTTAATTATTCCTTAAAAATTAAAAAAATGTTTATGACATATACTGATATAATCTCTTCAAAAAGTACCATGGGAATGCACAAAGCAATAGGTCCAATTTCCAGCACTGAAAAAAAGGTTGGGGGGGGTGGGGAAGCACCATGACAACAAATAACAAGAGATAAAAAAGCTAGCCTGTAGTGTTAGCTACTTGGGAGGCTGAGCTCAGCCTCAAGGGATCCCTTGAGCTCAGCAGTTAAAAATCAGCCTGGGCTACATAGTGAAGTGAAATCACCCCTCACAAAAAAAAAGCTGTATGAAAATCTTAAGATGAATATCTCACAATATAGCTAATATGCTTTTCAATAATATTTCAGGAATATATACTAAGAACATAATTTAAAAGTAAAAGTATCAAAAGCTTTCTTGTAAAGATATTGAGTTCAGAATTGTCTATAATCAATAAAGACTAGAAACAACCTCAATATCTGCCAACAGGGAAATAATAAGGCAAATTATAAGCATTATCAATTCAATAGTGTCTTGGGTAGTATTTCCAAAAGAAAACTTGCTTTGAGAGATACATGCAAAAGTTTAGAATATATTACATGGAATAGGCAGGCACAAAGAGAAAGTAGTGTTATGGGCAGCACTAGATTTAGTTTTAAAAAATTAACGTAAATATAGTTACATTATTAAAAACTCAACGAGACCTAATTTTTCATTTCAAAGCTGAGTCTACCACACATGTGCACATTTACTTAAAGAAATTAAAGCTATTGGGCTGGGGTTGTGGCTCAGTGGTAGAGTGCTCGCCTAACATGTGTGAGACACCGAGTTTGATCCTCAGCACCACATAAAAATAAATAAAATAAAGCGCCTACAACTAAAGAAAAATATTTTTAAAAAAGAAAAGAAATTAAAGCTATTGTAAGGAATCTGATAAACAGGTTTTACAAAAAACAAGTTCAAAAGCACACAATATTTAAAAAAAATTAAATCAAGAGAAACACTTAAAATTTTTTTATTTTGCTTATGTGTTTTAAAATCTGGTATCATCTAATATTTTGTACTGGCTGCCTTTTCAATTTTATAGGTTTCATTTGAAAATAAAGCAACAAACGTTCAAATGGAGATATCATGTGAACTCCTCCTTCTAAGTGAGAGTACAATACTAATCTTACCTGGAGTTGACGGTCTTTCAAGCATGTTCAGATGATGGGAGATGAAGGCCTGACTATCATGAACAGTATCCATGTCAATCTCCTCCTCATCTTGAGAATTTGAGAACTAAACATAGGCACACAAAACAAACAAAATAAAAAGAAGCCATTACATCACTTTATATTTAGATCTTATCTTTTAGAAAAAGTGGCAGAGGCAATAAGAATATAACCCCTTATAATCTTAAAAGGAAAAGCAGTCTCTTTTCCTTAAAAGGTGTTAAGAGAAAGGAAGGATTAGGTGGTCCAGCCTCCAAAAGAAGCTGATTTAGAAATTACTGGAAATGTAATAGCAACTAAAATCTACTCCTATATTGTGGGAAGAAGTAGTGAGTTGTGGTGAAACGTGCACACATAGTTCCTTCCCCAAACAGAGAAGAAATATGTGATAATAGAAGTTAAATAATTGGATGAAATGACTTGGAAGGACATTTGGGTTGTTTTATGATTCAGTCTGTCCCACATGTTCCTGTTAAGGAAAAACCATTCCAAGTATTCAAAAAGATTTATGAGAATGTGAATACCCTACACTGTTAATACAGGTTGAACCTGTATTTCTTACTCTGATTTTGAGTTTGACTTTACTGCTATCCTCATTCTTCTCCAGTATTTGACCAGGTTCTAGTGGGGACCCCAGTGGTGTATCAGCCTTCCTCTTCACTCCCTGCTGATGAGCTGATACATTACATGATGCTTCCTTGGCAAGGTGATCATCTTCCTGTGGCAATATTTAAGATCAAAATTAGACTTGTAAAGATAAGTAGCTCATATTATAGCTGAAAACTAATAGCTATAACAACCATGCAGATTAGAGCATGCCCAAAGGCTAAAAAATGGGCTTAAAAATATAACCTTTTTCTGTGTGTTTTACTTTTGGGGTGAGAATATAAGTATTTAAGTGAACTTCCAGAGCTTTTCCAAAAGAATGTATCTTTTAGTGTCACTTTCTTCACTTATCCTAAAGTGTGAATGTGCACAATTAACATATGGGCAAGAACTATAAACTATTTATTTCCACAGGTTTATAAATATCTAAATCTAAAAGAGCTCCTTTTTTAGACTTGTTTTTCCTATGTAATAATTGGCCTTACTTCTTTAAAATCAAACTCTAAGACACTTGTAAAATTTACAACAAATAAGTGTGGTTACATTTCAAAAAATTTAGGTAAATAAGTTTAAAAATTACTTAGTATCATAGAGAAAATCTGAGTATCAAAATGTTAAAACACCAGTAGGGCTTTGCCATGCAAGTAATCTGGTCTAAATATTGGTGAAAAATGAAGCTTGAAATACTACAGACATTGTCATCAGTAAGAAAAGTGTTTCTGGAAAACTTTGTTTATAGTCAAATAATTAATATGTATCCTATAAGTCCTTTTACAAAAAGGCTGACAATTGTATAATATACAGTTAGAAAAGCTTTTCTAAAGGCAAACACACACAAATATATAAAAATTTTTAAGACAGTCTTCTCCCAAATCGGCAGCTTATTTATTTACCTGATCATTCATTCATTTATTTATTTTCATTCAACAAGCATTTGCCAGGCACTTACCATGTTAAGAATTGTGCTAGGTACTACATAGAGCAAAAATTTAAAAAGACACGGCCTTTGGGTTCAAACAGATTAATATGTAATAGATTAACTATTCATTTTTATTTTCTACTACTCAGAGGAGAAATTCTATGCTCAAATATTTTTTTAAAATGATTATGTCATCACAAAAGAGAGTAAATGGACTGATAAAATGCTAAACAAATGTTAGCTACAGGTTTTAAAATGGCACTGTGAACTGTTTTAGTTGCTATAAAATTTACCAGTTCACAAGAAGCAATTCTTTTCTCTAGATGGCTCTATATAATAAAACTATATCTTCTGTATGTAATACTTGTGATTCTTACAGGATTCTGAAATCCAACTAGCTGTGCATGACTGCTTGGATTATTCGCAGCTTCTTGGTTGCCTGCTACAGCCTCTGGAATTATAGTAGGATTCAAGACAGCTTTTTTCTCCTTCAGATTAAGAACCAACCCAAGCTCTGGTAAGGGTAAACAGGAAGGTCTACTGAGGCCAAAAAGTGTGAAATACAAGTCCACAGCACCACACCGCAATCTCCAGTCATGTGAAGTACCTGAGATATAAATAATAAAGAAATTTTATTATCACACCTTTATTCTTACAAAATGAGTACTATAGATCAACTAAAAAATCTAATATTCTAAAAACAATTTTTTCCCTCTGGCTTTCAATATTCTTTTACTTCTTCCTCAACAGTAATTAGTTATACCACATTCATTCATTCTCTGTCCAACTTGTCTGATTCTCTTCATCAACAGACTGTCAAGCAAACATCACTCCATAATCCTTCATGTACCCTATCACAGAAACAAAGTTTTAAAGTATTTAAAGTATTAAAACAAATACCTACTGCTCTCCTACCTTTTATATATAACAACTATTTATATCTAATAAAACACATTTCAACCTATCTTTTGATTGAGTCTTTATACTAAAACCAGTGTTAGTTTCAACCTATCAGAGACATCAGGCAAATTTGGTGAAATGTATGTAATACTTACAAACCCATAGAAGAAGAACAATAACCTGAATAAATAAAAATGACTTAAAAAAGACACAGGTTTGGGGTGTGTTCTGTGGTAGAGCATTTGCATAGCATTCACAAGGCCCTGGGTTCAATCCCCAGCACAGGAAAAAAAGGAATTACAAATATCTAAAATATAAGCAGCATAATGATAATATCATCATTACACTTGTCTAACAACATTTTTAAGTATTCAATATAAGCCAGATACTGTGCTTAACTCATTTTAATTCTCAGTTTACAGGAGTTGATATAATTATCATGTGCATTTTATAAATGAAAAAAGTTTAGAAGCTACACAGTGAGAAAATAACTAAGACTCAACTATCTGCAAACTGGTTTCAAAGATAGTGCTCCTAAGCAGTGTTATCCTACTTCTTGACCTCACTCAAAATAAATTAAGTTAAAACTATAATATACCATGAACTCCAGGGTGCAAACCAAAAACAATATGCAGTTTTAAAAAATGGAGACTGATTCTATATGCACTGACTGCCCCTGCAAGGATAAGAAATTGGTTACTTATGGGAAAGGCCACTAAGTGGCTATGGAAAAGAGGTGGAAAGTTTAAGTTTTCACTACTATGTAACACTTTGTAGGGTTATATTAATAGCCCTTTAATCATCTGAAACACTTTCAAATAAATTAATCTTTTATTTCCTTAACCTCAGTGGGGAGCAAAGTGAGCATATTCTTAACCAATATTATAATACCCATCACTGTAAAAGTGTGATATTCTACTTGAAAAAAAAAGGCAAAAACTAAAATCTTCTGTTCTTAAGTGCTATTGAATTGCAAGTCTGCTATAAAATGAAAATACTCTAATAATAAAAATTTCTTTAAAAATCACTGCTCTCTTACCAGAATTCATAAGTTTCCAAAGTTGATCTACCAGGGCTTCATTGCATAATGGAGACTCCATGTTCTTTGTAAATGGTGGATTCTTAGTCAACATATTTAGAATCTTATGCCTGAAAGAGTAAAAAACAAATTAATTAATTTTTGCTGACCATCTGTTGACTGATACTGAGTCAGAGACACCACAAAACAGCTGAAAATTATGTGTACTTCTTCCTTATTAATTTGCCACTTTCCATTAGGCCTAGTTTTGTGACTAGATTAGTTTGATTTCAGAAGACTTTGAGTTATATCCTAAATACTTCCTACTTGTTTCAATTAAAAAAAATCTGGTTGTTTTGCTTCTAAATCAACTAACTGTGCAATAAAAAGCTTGACTACACAATCTTAACCAATCTTTACCATAACATTTTTTTTGTGTGTGTGTGTTAGTAGTCCTCTGCATATTTTAAGCAAGTACTCTATGACTTGGTTATATCCCCAGCCACTTTCATAATTTTGAAACACAGTTTCAAATGGCACAGGCTGAACTGACTTTTTCCTCCTGCCTCAGACACCCTAGTAGCTGGAATTATATGCTTGGGCCACTGTGCCCAGCTACACCCATCCCATGTTTTAAAATAAACAATCTACTCTCCATAGAAACATGTACAAAAAAGAAAACACACATAGACACATAGACTGGTCAGTTAAGTACATCTTAAAACTGAGGAAAAACCCCCCAAAACCCACAAAATACATAATAGACCTAGAAGTCTACACTTTAGATAATAAAATGAATATAGACATCATTATTCTATCTTTGTAGAGAATGTGAGGGAGCATTTTAAATGCGGTACCTACAAAAAGATTCTTCAAATTAAGCTGAGGTAAAAAAGAGTCAATTAAGAAAAGTATTCTCATAGGGGTAACTGTTAAACTCTACTAAGTCATTTAGTCAAAATACGGCATTATGATGAAGAAAAAATTTGAAAAAGAAGTATCTGATGGTATGAAAATAAGACATCATATGAAGTATATAGAGAAAAGACAAACCCAGGTCTAAGATCAAGGAAAAATTCAAGGTTTAAGAGTAACTGGAGAGCTGGGATTGTGGCTCAGTGGTACAGCACTCGTCTAGCATGTGCGAGGCCCTGGGTTCGATCCTCAGCACCACATAAAAAAATAATAATAATAATTAATTAAATAAAAAAAGAGTAACTGAAATTCTACAATATAAGTGAGAGGGAAAGAAACTGAATTTTATCCTTATGGTGCTTAGCAAGTCTTGAGAAAAGGTGAATCTGGGAATTTTTTTACATTTAATTATTGGTGGTAAGACACCAAATTAGACTTGAAACTAGGAAAGAGATGGGAAGAAAGTTGATCTGTAAGTGATAATTTCTTAGACACTAAATGCTTATTGGCTATAATTTCATATTTATAATACTGAGACGTGGATTCTGTTAAATACACTTTGGGGCTATGAAATTAAAGACTAAAATAAGACTGCTAAAAGACTACAGGAACAAAAAAACAAAATGTTGTTATAGATACAACTATAAAGTGTGGTATGAATTTTTATAGATATCTACTTTTGTCTTTATGGATAAATACAATTCCTGTCCTTCAAGAACTATTACTCCATTTCTAAGAGTATAGAACTGTATTTCTGGGCTTGGGCCACTGTGCATCCTTAAAATGTGAGTGAGTCCCAATCTGGTCAACTATTTTGACTATCTCAGTTAAGAAGATTCTTTCATTCTTCATCAAGATTTTAAAATTTTTAACTAATTGATTTTATTCTTTCTGTATGTTGAGGGAGATGTATTCTGGCTGTGCTGGTTGGTTCAGTGACATATATATACACACTTATTTCTTTTTCTTTCATTTGCAGTATTTTAAAAAATGTAATTATTTTTTCCTAGCATAGTCAAAATTTTGAGGGTTCAAGTATTCTAGATTGTAAAATTTGATTTGGTCCTGTATTATTTTCATTTGTTTATTTCTATTGTTTCTCTTTTTCTCTTCTCCTGCTAAGAGCCAAATTCTGTTGTTTTTTGTGGTACTGACAATTAAACCCAGGAGCACTTAACCACTAAGCCACATCGCTGAGTTGCTTAGGGCTTCAATAAGTTGCCGAGGCCAGCTTTAACAATTTTCCTACCTTCTGAGCTGCTGAGATTACAGTCATGTGCCACAGTGCCTGGCCAAATTCTATTATTCTCTTTCCCAATACTTTGCTTTCCTCCCCACCCCTTCTATATAAACATCACATCTACATTTCTTCTGCATTTACTCCGTTCACTTTTTTTTATTTTTTAAATTTTAATTTGTTATACATGACAGCAGAATGCATTACAATTAATATTACATATAGAGCACAATTTTTCATATTTCTGATTGTACACAAAGTAGAGTCATATCCTTCATGTCTTTATACATGTACTTAGGGTAATGATGTCCATCTCATTCCACCGTCTTTCTACCCCCATGCTATCTCCCCTGCCCTTTCCTTTTCCCCTTTGCCCTATGTAGAGTTCATCTAATCCTCCCCACTCCATCACATTATGAATCAGCATCCTTAAATCAGAGAAAACATTTGGCATTTGTTTTTTGGGGTCTGGCTAACTTCACTTAGCACTAATATTCTCCAACTCCATCCATTTAACTGCAAATGCCAAGATTTTATTCTCTTTTAATGCTGAATAATATTCCATTGTGTATATATACCACATTTTCTTTATCCATTCATCTACTGAAGGGCATCTAGTTTGGTTCCACAGTTTAGCTACTGTGAATTTAGTTCCAGAAGATCTTTAAAGTAGAATTAATATCAATACTCTTCAATTTATTGAAAAAGAGGGAGCACTTCCAAATTCATTCTATGAGGCCAATATCATCCTGATTCCAAAACCAGGCAAAGACACATCAAAGAAAGAAAACTCTGTTCACTTTTTGGAACTGTAAAGTCTTTTCTCACTTCCTAACACATTTACTTTCCCCCTAATTAAATGTACTTTTATTATCTTTCAGAACTAATTGATTTATATAATTCCTCCCCCACCATTAATGCTAATACAGTCATTACTGCTATAGATGATAAGGTTGACACTTGCCATTTGCTTCAAAGCCATATTCAGTTCATGGTTATTGTTTTTACTATTGACAATTGCCCGAACCAATCTTTCTTTTTTATTGGAGGCAATTAATGCTGAAGACTTCACAGGAGGGACTAGGTATTTACTAAACACTGTATATTGTTTGTTGTTTGCAACCCTTGTTCTGTTGTTTATTTCACCCCATTCTGTGAGGTGCTAGGAACCTATAGGGACACTAAAAGTTCATAGGTTAGAGATTCTGCTGCTGACCTAAACATTCCTTAACATTACTTCCACTCAAGGGAGGAAACCAAAGACTCAAACCAATAAGGACTCAAGGAGGGGAAAAACAAAATGGAGAAGGAACCCAGGTCCCATTCCTTGGCATCTATGTATACATCAAAAACAGAGAGAAGTCCCAGAACAAATAAGATTAAATAATAAAAGAATACCCACAATAAAAGAGGTAGAGGAGTCCATCTGAATTGATGCATAAGACTAAGACATTTGAAAACATGAGAAAACAGGTAAACAGATATCTCAAAATCCACAATCCCCCAACAAAGATCCAGCTGATACTAAGGTGGGTGCAAGCCTAGAGAAAGATTATTTAAAAAAACCCCATTCTTAAAAATGTTCAAAGAACTAAAATAAGACATAAGGAAGGAATTGAGAGAGCAATTACAAAAGATGAAAGAAAACTTTTAAATAGAGTGAAAAGACCAAACAGAATTCCTAGAAATGAAAGATACCATCAATCAAATTAAAAACTCACTTGAAGGCTTCACTAACAGATTAGACTGCAGAGAATATACAACCTTAGCCCTTGAAGACAGAACTTTCGGCCTTAAAGAAAGGCTATATTATGATCTTGAGTACACAGAAGGCAATAAAACAGAAAAAATTATAGGACATGATCAGAATATAAAAGATAACTGGGATAACACTAAAAGACCAAACTTGAGAATCACTGGGATAGAAGAAAACATGGAGATAAAAACTTAAGGCATAAAGAAAAATTTCAATGAGCTAGTTACAGAAAATTTTTCCCATATCAGAAATGGTATAGACATTCACATACAAGAGGCTTACAGGAATGGAATGAAACTGGAAATCAATGATAAAAGAAGGAAGGAAAAATCCTACATCACATGGAAAATGAACAATATGTTACTGAATGATCAATGGGTTACAGAAGATATAAAGGAGGAAATCAAAAAACTCTTAGAGATAAATGAAAATACAGACACAACATATCGGAATCTATGGGACACAATGAAAGCAGTTTTAAGAGGGAAATTCATCGCCTGGAGGTCATTCCTCAAAAAAAGAAAAAACCAACAAATAAATGAGCTCACACTTCATCTCAAAGCCCTAGAAAAGGAAGAGCAAAACAACAGCAAATGTAGCAGAAGGCAAGAAATAATTAAAATCAGAGCGGAAATCAACGAAATGGAAACAATGAAAAAATTGACAAAACTAAAAGTTGGTTCTTCGAAAAATTAAATAAGATCGACAGACCCTTAGCCATGCTAACGAAGAGAAGAAGAGAGAGAACTCAAATTACTAACATACAGGATGAAAAAGGCAACATCACAACAGATACTACAGAAATACAGAAGATAATTAGGAATTATTTTGAAAACCTATATTCCAATAAAATAGACGATAGTGAAGACATCGATAAATTTCTTAAGTCATATGATTTGCCCAGACTGAGTCAGGAGGATACACACAATTTGAACAGACCAATATCAATGGATGAAATAGAAGAAGCAATCAAAAGACTACCAACCAAGAAAAGCCCAGGACCAGATGGGTATACAGCAGAGTTTTACAAAACCTTTAAAGAAGAATTAATACCAATACTTTTCAAGTTATTTCAGGAAATAGAGAAAGAGGGAGCTCTTCCAAATTCATTCTATGAGGCCAACATCACCCTGATTCTGAAACCAGACAAAGACACTTCAAAGAAAGAAAACTACAGACCAATATCTCTAATGAACCTAGATGCAAAAATCCTCAATAAAATT